ATCCTAAAAGTGTTGGGGGGGGACACCATGACACCCCCTCAACACCCCAATTTTTCCTTCACCGGCGGTAAATCCAGTAGAGCTCACCTTTTGCCGGTGGAAGAAAGCCGGACGAAGACCTGGCACGCATCTGGCACTACTCTTTGGATGAAGACCTGCTGCTCATCCCGCTCGCCGAAGGGTCCTGCCAGCAAAAAACACCAAAACCCCCCCACCACAGCTCAGCGCCAGTCCCGCGTTCCATTTCCTCGCCAGAACCGGCGGGTTTTTTACCGATATCGGTGCCAGCGCCACAGCCGGCGGGACCGTCGAGATCATCCAGGGAAAGGATTTTGAAGGAAGCCAACGGCGTCGAGCCGGGTTGGGTAGAAATCATCCCGCGGAAACGAGTCACCGTCCAGGTCCGGACGTGGTTGTTGTCGGCGCAAACTGGGAAGACAGAACGGGGATGAGAGGCGAATGCCAGTGATTTCATCGGGTGGCATTTTTAATTTTTTTGGGGTTTTTTTTTGTTTCCCCGAGCCTGGTGCTCACCAGAGATGAGGTGTTTTTCCGAAAGCATGATTTTGGTGACAGGGCTGCGGTGGACGGTGAAGGTTTGGAAGAGTTGAGGACCCGAGCCCACCGTTTCGGGGTGCTGCACGATGACCCGCACCACGCCGGAGCTGGTGCCATAAGCGATTTCGATCCAGTTCCCACTGTCACCTGGAGATGCGCGCACCCCCCAAAAAAAAAAAAAAAAAAAAAATCCCCAAACACTTCCCAGTTCATCCCAGTAGCAAACCACTGGGGCGAGGGGGAGCTCTTACTGGTTTTGGGGGTGAGGTAGACGCTGAGGGCAGTGACGGCGTCTTCGGTGGGGTCGCGGTAGAGCTCCGTCACCAGCAGATCATTGTCCTTCATGCGCAGGGGGAACTTCTGAACGTCTGGGGGGTGGACACGGACAGAGGGACGGTGATGGCGGTGTTGGCATTGCCACCGGCCGGGGCGGGTACAGCGGCAGCATCGGCGCTCACCCACATAGTAGATGGAGCCATTGTTGCAACCGAGGAGGAGGAAGGTGCCGGCAGCATCGTAGCTGTTGATGGGGACAACGTCCTGGATCTGCGGGGAGGGACGGGAAGGGAGTTTGGGGGTTTTTCAGGATAATTTGGGGAAAATTCGGACACAGTAACAACCGCGCTCACCTGCCAGTGCTTGGTAACGGCATTCCAGACGCCAATTTTGCCGGTGTGGCTGGTGGCGATGAGTTGGTTCCCAACGAAGAAGAGGGCTTCCACCGGTACTCCCAGGTGGAAGACGCCTG